AAATTTAGCACACTCAAAAAGCATAGCAATGCAGAATGAACTATGTATCTTGTCACCTGCAGAAATTTTTAGCAAATAAAACTAATATTTACAACCAAGAAAAAGCACCTATGGACAGATACTGAAATAACCAAAATATTTCATTTCTATTAACACTTAATGCAACGTACCTTTCTTGTTATGATCCATTCTACGGTATCCTTTGCTAACTGCATGTCTGTGGTTGCAACTCCTTCTCTACTCATGTTTGCTCCAACATCAATCAAAATTACAGTACATTCATGCGGTGGAGCCTTTTTGGCTCGTTTTTTCGGATGATCCTCATCTGACATTATTCTGAAGCTTTTGATTTAAATTGAAGCACCTAATAAAACGTATTAATAGTCTTTAAAAAAATATGCATAAAATTGTCTGTCAGGAAGATATTGGAAAGAAATAACATAAGCAATGTAAAGAACTTCAAAATTGGGCACACCAAAAGGAAATAAGCAAGCTTTTACTAATCGATTAAATTTAGAATCAAAATTATAATCGTATAAACATCATGAAAGCTTTTCAGTCCAACTAAATTTCCTTGGCCGTACAAACAATTCGGTTCATAAATGGATCACTACAATCACCCAGTGGTCTTGCAAAGTATCTCGAGTCTGTCATAAGCTTAACGTTATCCAAACCTCGTTCGCTTTCTTTTATCCCTAACCTAAAGAAGATAATTTAAAAACAAATGTGAAAAGTTGAATAACAAACTCAAAATAAGGCATAATGCATTTCGAGATGTAAAAGTAATAAGAAACACTAAAAAAAATTGAGCATATTTGAAACTATATTTTAAAAAAATGCTACAACTTAGCTACATCACGACAATCAATCCGATAAGCTAGTAAAAATGAAAATTATAACATCAAGTGAAGAATATATGTCGATTAAAAATTCTAAACAAAGAGACAAATAAGAAAGACAACTAGCCTATTTAGCAGATGATCAGCATAATGAGGTACCACTGGCTGTAGCAAAATACCACAAATTCGTAACACTTCATAACAGATGTATAGCAATGAAGATACCTGATCAATGAATTAGTAATTTCAATGGATCACTAGATTTATCTTTAATTTAAAAAAAAAAAAATAGCTCTAACGAGCAATAGGTTTAGATATATGAAACTATAAAGCAACCTTTCTAACGTCCAATTCGTTCCATGGTTCATAAAACTGAAAAAAACCATTTGTTTGCCGCATAACATCCATCAGAAGTTCAAGAGCTTTGTATATCATTAATTCATCAAACTGTTCCTCATATACTTCTATAATATTGCTTCTTACATCCACTTATATTCAGTGAGTTCCACAATATGTAAAAAAAAAATATGCGTATTGATTTCTCAATAACATAATAGTCAACAAATCCATTTTTAGTTATTCACTAATTATTTATAAAATATTATATACAACTAGTGTTATTACTATGATAAGAAAGTGGAAAAAAAAAACCTTCAGATATACCTGTCAAACAGTTGATTGACTCTATTAGTGGTTCACCTAATTCCAACAAATTATTACGGAACGAATCCGAATGGAATGCAGGATATGTTTGAGAAGGGTTGAGTTTTCCGATCGTTGAACGTTGCAGCAAATTTCCAACATTGTTTATGAGATCCGTATTGACAACATTAACGGCTTTCAACATCGTGAAATCTGTGATGTATGAACAAAACACTTGCATTACTTCTCGATTCTAAGGACTTACAGAAACAACAAAAACATTAGACAAAAATAAAAAAAGCAAGATGCGAAATTTTTTTCAGATTAAATCTTTAAAATAAAGAGAAACTGACTCGCATCACTTTGTGGAGTTCCTTGTCGAAGCAAAAAATACCTTAATCCTTCTTCGGATAATGATTTAGAAGCAGTAAATGGATCAACCACATTTCCAATACTTTTTGACATCTAAAACAGTAGCTTAAAAAAAAAAAAAAAAATGAATAAATGCGACATTAACTGTCAGAAGAACATGCTCAATATTTTGCGATCAGAACATATAAAAGAGAGGGACCTTAACTCCATCAACAAGCCAGTGACTGTGAATAAATATCCGCTTCGGAAGAGGCAAATCGAGTGCAAGTAAAAATGCCGGCCAAATAACGGCATGAAACCTTTTTCATAAATTAATATGCAGGAAAAAAAATGCCAGATAAATAGTTCCTTCAATTTAAAAATCAAAGAAATTGAACTCAAAAGCGATAGAAAGTAATACTTTTCATCTCAAATTATATTACTGGAATAAAAACCAATTAAATTATTACTTTAAAATATCTTTGCCAACGATTTGACATGTTGGAGGCCATATTGACCTCTTCTTGTTAGAAAAAACACCACTTACTGTTAAATAATTCACTAGTGCATCGAACCAAACATATATCTAAATAAATTATAAAATTCCAACATATAAATGTATGGAAGTACGATAATCAACTAAATTCAATATTTCCAAAATGAAAAGAATATAAGAAAAAATACTTATAAGTTATACAGTGTGATAAAACTACAAAACAAAAGTGACAGAACTACCTTTTATTTTCAATAGAAACTTCAATACAAATGGTAATTCAGTAACTCAAAACTCACCGTTTGACTTTCATCATTTGGTACTGCAATACCCCAAGTGACTCGCTTCCTATCTCTCGATAGCGAAAGATCTCTTTCCACGCTTGCATGCTGAAGTGCTTCCGGAAAATAAACTTTCGGACGTATGACATCTGAAAGCTACAGATTATAGCAAAACGTGTTGAATAGTTAAAGTAGAAAAGCTCTCAATGACTTATAGTTCAATAACTTTAAATAACCCTTCAAGCTAATCAGTTGATATCTGTTTGAAAAGATGTGCCACATATCAACAAATTACATGATCAAACGGACAGTACCCATTAATTTTACAGAAATAATTACCGCTTGCAAAAAAGCTTATGAAAGGCAACAGAAAAGCAGTGAAAATTAAATTACGTAAACATCATCTTAAAAATGATAATTACTCTACAGTGATGATAACTTTTAAACTTACCGCAATTACTAAGCCAGTTTCGCACTGCGCCAAGATATTTGAACAAAGGAAATATATAATTTTCTTCCTGCACCCATTCGACAACAGAACCTGTGATTTTACTTACCTGAAACATTTCCATCAAAAACAGAAACTAAATTTTATATCTGTCGTTTATAAAAAGAAAAGAGGTAGATAAAAGCTAACCGTAATAAAAACGGAATCAAAACAATAACAAAGAACAATACTGAATTGTTGGCCAATCCATTCATCACTCACAGCTACCTCATTTTTAGTACTCACTAGGCAAAGCAATATCATGGCTCATTTCAATCCGAAAAAAAAAAAAAAAAAACGAAACAAAAATAAAAAACCAAACTGCGGAAGTCTGTCCATCCAATTTTTCCACTTCATCATTAGCATAGAAGCACTCATCAACGGTTGAATACCAACCTTCATGTTTACCTCGTTGTATCAATCCTCGTTTATCCAATTCTTTCTATATTTAGCATAACTTTTTCACTGCATAAAAAAAGTTCAGATTGAACTGGACTAAAAATAATTTGCCTCCTACTTTTTCCCTTTATAACTTGATTCTCTTCTGAAGCACTTACACTTATTAACAATCATTTGTGATAAAACACCAGATGGAAACATGTCGAAGAAAATTAAATTATTACCCAAACATGCTTAACAACTTCTTTATGCCGTGTTTCAGTGGTTCGAATAAAGTCATTCGGCTGTATGCCAAAAGCACGAAATAAATCTTTGAATTTGTCGCTAATATCATCACAATAACGTTGTGGATCACAACCAGCTGTAGTGGCAGTCTGCTGGATCTAAAAACATGATTAACAGAATTCACTATTGGGTGAAGAATCCAGTCACTAATGTAGTAATAAAAGACTGGAAATTTACTCTCAGTAGATCAGAAAGCTATAAAAGAGAAAAAAAAAATTTTTTTTACATAGTTAATATAAAACACACTGCCACTATTTCATCTTTTAATCATACTGAATTGAATCTATTTCAAATTTACCTTTAAACCATGTTCATCAGTTCCTGTTGTAAACAACGAATTATTCAAATCAACATCACCACCTTTTAGCAGTTTCCAACGATTCGAAACATCTGCTAACAGCGCAGTATAAAGATGGCCAATGTGTGGGGCTGCAAATTTATGAAAATTAAGCACTAATAAAGAGATCCAAATTAAGTAATTCCATTGCATAATTAGTAAAAAAGAAAAGTACCAAAATCTAAAAGAAGCAATGAAAACAACTAACGTCCATTGGCGTAAAATATTGGGGTAGTTATGAAGTGTTTCAGTCTTATTGAAGTCATCGAAATGCCTTCGATGACACATAAAATTTTGACCCTACCAATCATTAAGTTCAAATATCTGAAATCATAATAAAAGGAAGAATAATTTTAGTTTTACTACTGCGTTCTATGACAGCCACCGATTCATCTATTTTATCACCAAAGGTGTTGAGGAACTTCAATAATTTACAGCAAAAAAGATTAGCCTACCTGTTAAGGTGAAAACACGAAAAAAGATATAGTAAAAGGTGTGATGAAGCGCAAAGAAAAAGTCAGATTTCTAAAGTATTAAGTTTTATTGGTAGAACTGCATCTATTAATGTTATAATACAATGTATTTATAATATGCAAAGAAATTACAATGTAAGCTTATGTCAAAATAAAAGAAATGAATACTCTAAATTCCAGCAGCTCATTTTTCTATAAATGCCAGCGAAAGAAAAATATTCAGTAGCCATGACACAAACTAAACAACAAAAACTGGTGTAGAAAAAAGAATTTAGAAATGGCAAAAGCAGGAGTGCAAATGAAGTTAACTATCCCGCGCATCTTAAGAGGAACTAAAATTTCTATAAAACGTTTGCTTTCTGAAGAAATTGCTAAAAATTCTTTAACACAGCAGAGTAACTATTCTATATGATTTAAAGCTTAGAACTGGTTATGCGATTAGGTTTACTTTCTTCTAACAATCTTACATCATCGTAGGTTTCATCATGCAAAAAACCTTGTTCGATTTCCACTAGTGAATGACCTTCATCAATACCACGCTCAATAATGTATTCCTTCATTAGCTTATTTTTGAGGTAAGCAGCGACTTTATCCGGATCTCGTAGTTCTTTGATTTCTAGTGGTTTCTTGGCAAATATCAACTGATATTCTTTGCTTGTCATTCCCTTGATATACTCCATCTGTAATAAGCAGTTATTTAATGCGTTAATTATTATAGAACATTTTTTGTGATTAGTTTTGTTTTGACTAAGACGAGTTTGACATGAAAATCAAACTTTTCCGAATATTTCATTCTTGAAACTAATAATGATAAGAAACTGTTGAAGAAGTCTCTATATGCCAACGTCAACTTGGTAAAGTGAAATTAAGATCCAGTGTATGTACTGATTATCCAAACCTTAATAATTCTGCATATAATCAAAAATCGATCCTTGCGTATCTTTCTTTTAAAAAGAAATTTTTTCTTCCAATTCAATGAGGATATTATAAAAGACAACTCTGAAATCCAAAATTTAGCAAATTTTCTCCGGCAAATCTTACTCTGATATCCTCAAATCCAGCGGGTTCCAGTTCGAAAATATACCGAGTTGGATCAAATTGTCGTCGCCTAATTAACTTTCCTTTTTCCAGCAATTCAAGCCTAAAATTAAACAACGACTGCATTATCTTCTTCATGAATAATAAAAACTAGACAGCTAATTTAATTGAAAACTTTCATGATATCATTCCTTACAAGTATAAAAAGATATTAAAAACAAACTTTTTCAAATCCATGCCGCATAAGAAGATACCACCGGGTTTCAGCACCCTAATTATCTCAGTTAGTGTTGCTGGCAAATCAGATGCCCAAAAGTATGGTGAATGAACATGAAATATTTTGTCGAAAAAATCATTGTTGAATGGCAAAAGTTTTGCATCGGACACCTAATTAAAACAAAGAAAAATAAATGTTTTCATGGATAAAGTACACTGTGGCAAATACCAAATGACAATAGAATAGTAAAAAATCATTCTGAGGGAAAATTACTTGCTTCATTAAAAACAATCCGTTTATCTTCCAATGCATTCTTAGGAAAACGTCCTCGAACCGCTCCAAATAATGATGTCCATCTATCTACAGTGTATATTGTTCCTTTGCCTTCTTTCACACGCTTGTAAGAGCGCAAAACACCTGAGATTACCTGATGAAATTGAAATACTTTGAAATTCATTAACAGAATTGATAAATATTACAAATCTTCATAAAGAATCTTTTAGATTCTAGTGACTTACACGCAGTAGTGAAAATGATGCAAAAAATGTGTTAATAACACAAAGATACACGGAAATATTTTTACTAGCTATGAAAAATGAATGAAAGAAATTTTCTTTTTCATCTTCAAAAAAGACGGAAGAAAAATTCAACAGGCTGAGTGTCATTTTAATTATGCTGAAACAAACCATCGCCGAACCCAATTCCAAGCTCTAGGACTTCATCATCAGGTGATATATTCACTGCATCAACAACAGCATTCAATAGGAAAGGTGATTTCCAAGCCAATAATCCTGACATGTATAATCCATCAGCTGCGTCATTCGGAGTTGTTAACTGTGAAAAAAATAATAACATCACTAAAGTAATGACTGAATATTGTTCATATATTTTATTATATAGCTCTGTTTTGATAATCTCAGTGAGCAAAGTTTCTAGACTAAATACACTTTACAGTGGAGTAATCGAATAATTGATGTATTCACATTATATATCTGTAAATGGTTTCACATAGCATGCTATTATATGCCGAATACTACTTTCACTATTCATAATCTGACATCATTTAAATACAGACTAATCTGACTGTAAGATGTTACAAAGGTGATATCTAATGCAAGGTAGAAAGTAAAAATTAACTCCAACGTCCTATAACATACTGTATGTACAATTCATTTTACCTTGTGACGGAAGAGTCGAATAATTTTTGTAATGGACGGCATAGTTATAATAATTTACTTCATATTTATTCTTGAATCTGCAAAATTCTTTCCCAATAAGTGAATAAAAATGCGAATGTTGAAAAATGACTAATAAGAATAATGAAATCAAGAAGAAAAACTTAAAATCTTCAATTAATTCTTTTTTTTTTCACAGAACTAAGTCATTCTCAATTAATTCATTCAGTTTAATATTGTGTAATATGGAATAATAGAACTAGCTATTCGAATACAACGCATATCATCGACCCTTCCGTAATGAAAGTAGAACTAAATAAATAAATGTTGCAAAAATATGTCCCTGTTTTATTTTTATTGGAAATTTATTGAAATCTAAAAACGGAAATACAATAACACATACATAATTAATAAAGAAGTACGTATAACTTCTCAACCACAAAAATGTGTGTTCATAATTAGCAAAAACGCTGATGTTTATATGCACGCAATGGTTTCCATTTATTATAACAAACAAAAGAAATAACTCAATGTTTTACCTATAAAATCTTTTGCATCATTATATATGTGTTAAATACTTGCCAAGTCACACGTAGTAACACTTTTAACTGTAACGTACGCATCAAAATCCTTTCCTTCACTCTCTCACTGGTATTGTCTCTTCCTCTCTCAGAAGTCTTTATCATTCTTTGCTATCTACTCCATTTTAATGCTATTTCTATCTCATTTCTTCTCTCTCTCTCCCTCTCGTAATATTTTGATTTGAAATAATTCAAAACTTCTTAATTTGAAATTTGAAAATTCTTCATAGTCATACCTCATTATCCTTATCTTTTTCACTATTAATTTATTAAAATATTTCACCCTCAATCTTCAACCATAATATTTTTCCCGTTCTATCATTTCTCATCGTACTCTCTCAATTCTGTACTCTTTTCTAAATGAATCAAATTATTGTTGCGAATAAATCTTTACACTTGGTAGCAATAGCCTTTGATGTTATTAGTCACGAGCTTTTTGACGTTGGGTTGTGCTAACGTTTCATTTTCTGGAGAACTTTTATTGCTAGGAATAATCAAAATTAAAAGTGAGAATTCTAAACTATTTAGCATTTATTATATTGGAACAGAATATTTTCATTCTTAGTTTATGTGAGGTGAATAAATTTGAAAGTGATGATTTTTGAAATTGAAATAAGTAATCACTAATAAAATTATGGTCTAAAATTGATCGTTTTTTTTATCTTTGATCAACTTTTTTCCTTATATATATTTTGAGGTGTTAAAAGTCATTGCTAGTTATCTTTTTTTTACTGGATATTTCGATGTATTTTGTGTATGCAATAGCAAACAGTTCTGTCTTCACTTTTTTCAGATTAAAATTTAAATTTAATTAAAACGAGTTTAATTATACGCTAAGGAAGGTATTTGCAAATGATCATCGGTTATTGTAGTAATGCACTTCATGGCTTCCACATCACAGGTCATAAAATATTAGCACTAACTAACTTAGTAATTAAGTGGTATGTTTTCTCTGTCTCACCTTTTAATTTCTTTTTTTAAAATTATATTTGCATTGTTAATTCTTTTGTAGTTATTGCTGCGTACATGTTTTGTGTTTGTATGGTCCGGCTTGTTTTGTCAATTAATATGAAGTATTTCAGGATGGATAAGATTTTGCAGGTGTTTTGTCAATTAATATGAAGTATTTCAGGATGGATAAGATTTTGCAGGTGCAACAGTGAAAAATGTCAATTGGAAGGATAAAAATTGTTAATTGAATGTCAAGAAAAAAGAAAAATGGATGAAAGTGAGGAAATTGATTTCAACAGTAAATCTAAAATTTTCGTTGAAAATAAACGAAGTGATTGCTTCGATACTGGCCAGGAACTTGAAAAGGATTTGAGGGAAACAGCTGGAGATAATGGCGATGTTCGTTTTTTGTCTTTTCTCTAACCTAAATAAACTTAGTGGTAGTAAATTCTGTATTTTCTATTATTATTTAAATTATGTCGTGATCACTGGGAAATAAAGAATTATTTTAATTAAAGCTTTTCCCAGTGTTTTCACGTCATTATTAAGATTTACACATAAGATATGAAACGAAAAAAATGTGTGATATGTTGCCAGCACTTGGTATAACATTGTCGAATGTAGTCGGCAATTTGCATCAGACATAAGGTAAAATAATATTTTTATTTTATTCGTAAAAATGTAAAATATAGTGTGATTTACAGTGCGAAAAGCGTGAATCGCCGAAACAAGAATTGGTTGCTCACATCCGTCAGCATGCAATACAAAAGCTTTACTCCGACCCTTCGTTTGCTGTCATTTGTAGTTTTTTCAACAAGTTCGCTGTCTTCCTGGGTTTAAAACCTCAGTGCTTCGCCAAAATGGAAAACATGTTTACCAGTTTTCACGTTACAGGCAAAGGTTATTTCTTACATTTTTCCCGCATTTTTGCTTACTTGAATGATCAGCTAATAATGCTCGACATAGAACAATATGTTGCGTAATATTATTTGTCATATGCATACTTTGACGGACCATACTTGCGTTCATATAAATAGCTTTAGCGTTATGCAAGAGATGCTTGTTAAAAGATTACTCAGAACAAATTTGAAGAATCAAAGATGTTTCCAGCGAGCAGTAATACTCATTAATGTTGTCTGCTGTGTTATGACATTATTAAGAAATCATTAGCTTTGGTTACTTGGAAATATTTTTAGTCGATCGGGATTTGATCGATTTACACTTAATGTTGATGCGAAAATTAACGTTTAAATCAGCGAGATTGGAAGTGTGGGAGAAATATCTTTTGAAATTCTGTTCTCTTGTTCCATCGCTAGAAACGGAGTACTTGCAACTAGAACGATACGGCTATTTGCACACAACTGCAGCTACGAAGCTTGCTATTCTCAAAGCTTTATGTGAAAGTCAATTCGACTTTAATGTAAAATTTAAAGAAAGTGTAAGTTATTCATGAAATTCTGGATAAAGGGTATATACTCAATTATAACCTGCATATTTCTTTGATTTTTCATATTTCTTGGGTTTAACGACTCTATCTTGTTGTTTTTCAGCTATTAAATTCTTGTGCAGCAAGTGATTTGCGCCTTTTACCTATCGGCTATGACAAAGAAGGCCTTGCTTATCTGTATCAGCAGGATGCTGATTTAGTTATTCGTATATATTCGGCGGAACAGGATGATCATTCGGGTGGCTCGTGGAATCTTGTTGCCAAGTTAGTTTGTTTCAAGTCATTTAGAATTTCTGTTATCAAATTTATCAATTTGATTTTTTGTGATTATAGAGAGTATAATCAAAAACTTTCTGAACATCCTAGACTGAAATGTTGTGTAAAATCAGTCATTAGCAGAACCACTCCATTTAATTGACATTCTGAATTTAGAGAACTACATACAGTTTTTTTTTTCCGGAATCTCGAAAAATACTTTTTTTTTTTCTACTTTAAACCGCTCATTTTCTCTCTGCAAACGTTCGGGGTAGTATCTTATGAATCAGATTTTTTGTCGTTAGAGAGAACACATCTGAATTACAGTTATGATTTGTCGAACTTTATTGAACTACTTCATGGTTTTTAAGGTGTAAAGAAGAGCTAGAAAATTTGGTTATGGAATTAAAAAATACACTTGCCTCAAAATATTTGTCCAATTTGCTAAAACAACATGAAGGTTTGTAATTTGTCGCTGTTGAAAAGATATGCAGTTATGTTTTATATATATAATTTATTATACCATATTAAAGACGTGCAATTAAGTATATATTAGATCATTAAATATTACAGAATTTGGTTTTTTGTCAGAAATGGAAATTTTTGGTCCTTAGAATTCAGATTGTTTTTTCAATAAAAGCTTTATTTTGGGCATAGATTTTTTAGATTCATCATCAACTCCGGTTGTAACTGAGGCAGACGAACAGACTAATGTTTTATCTGTATTTTCAACAAAAAGAGGTGCTTTACTAGACACTTATCAGGACGAATCTGCAGTCAAGGTACACAAAATATCTGTTTCATCTTCTGTTAATTATTTCATATGTGAATTAAGTTGATATTTTTTTATTAATAGAAAAAAGTGGTGAAGCGAAGTCAAAGGAAAAAAGTAGCTGTTGAAGAAGAATCAAAAAAAGAAAATAGTGCGCCACCAGTAGAAATCATAGAAGACATACCCGACGAAGTGAAACCATTTGTATGTTTACTTTTTGTTTGAATTTTGAATGCCTTTCATTTTGATGTGTCGAAGATGTGGTTCTGTACTACTGGTTTATTATGAATATCTGATTTTAAACTTTAAAAATTGTTATTTTTAGCTCGATCGTCGAGTATTACCGCGCAGAAGTGCCCGCAGTGCTGCAATAAATCAATTGAAAGAGTTAACTGCTCCGCTGAAACCTCAGAGCGGGAGAAGGAAAAATCAGCAGAACAAGAAACAAATGGAAGTAGAAAATACAAAACAACTGAAAATCCTTGATAAAAATGTAATTTAGATCCACTCTTTAAAAAACATTTTTTTTTTCGTTAATAGAATATGTTATCTGGTGGTAATGAAAGTAATATTTCAGGACGATCAAGATGAGAGCGAAGATAATGACGAAAATGAAA